TTACCATGACGAGCTAACTCTCGCTCCAACACTTCATCTCTAACAAATGGTGGCACGTTAGAAAGTATAACTTTCTTCTCCAGATTCATTAAAGGAAATAACGACACCTGCGTCTCTTTAAATACAACACCACTCTCAACTATCGTATTCACCTTTTCAATGGAATCTAAGAATATCACTACAGCGCTATTCATCCTTGAGGATGATTTTATGCTATCATACCCAATGATAGCGCCAACTGCTAAACTACATTCTTCCACCGAACACTCTGCCTAAGCAGGAATCTTTACTCCATGCCACCGACTAAGTTTTTCCAATCCCAAACCCTCCTGAGTGGCCATTGCAACCAGCCTCACCAGCTGGTTGCGCCCTCGAGAAAAACAACCTCAAAAGATCCCACCACCCCTATACATGTTTAGTGACAGTGAAACAAAATAACCTTAAAACAGCTTAATTAATCAATATATACAGTACCAGTCAAAAGTTTGGACACACCAAATCATTCAAGGGTTTTTCTTTATTTTTACTATTTTCTACATTGTAAAATAATAGTGAAGATATCAAAACTATGAAATAACACATCATGTATTAACCAAAAAAGTGTTAAACAAATCAAAATATATTTTATATTTGAGATTCTTCAAATAGCCACCCTTTGCCTTAATGACAGCTTTGCACACTCTTGGCATTCTCTCAACCAGTTTCACCTGGAATGCGTTTCCAACAGTCTTGAAGGAGTTCCCACATATGCTGAGCACTTGTTGGCTGCTTTTCCTTCACTCTCCAGTCCGACTCATCCCAAACCATCTCAATTGCGTTGAGGTTGGGGGCAGGTCATCTGATGCAGCACTCCATCACTCTCCTTCTTGGTCAAATAGCCCTTACACAGCCTGGAGGTGTGTTGGGTCATTGTCCTGTTGAAAAACAAATGATTGTCCCACTAAGCCCAAACAGGATGGGATGGCGTATCGCTGCAGAATGCTGTGGTAGCCATGCTGGTTAAGTGTGCCTTGAATTCTAAATAAATCACAGACAGTGTCACCAGCAATGCACCCCCACACCATAACACCACCTCCTTTACGGTGGGAAATACACATGCGGAGATCATCCATTCACCCACACCGCGTCTCACAAAGACACAGCGGTTGGAACCAAAATCTCCAATTTGGACTCCAGACCAAAGCACACATTTCCACCGGTCTAATGTCCATTGCTCGTGTATCTTGGCCCAAGCAAGTCTCTTCTTCTTATTGGTGTCCTTTAGTAGTGGTTTCTTTGCAGCAATTCGACCATGAAGGCCTGATTCAATCTCCTCTGAACAGTTGATGTTGAGATATGTCTATTACTTGAACTCTGTGAAGCATTTATTTGGGCTGCAATTTCTGAGGCTGGTAACTCTAATGAACTTATCCTCTGCAGCAGAGGTAACTCTGGGTCTTCCATTCCTGTGGCGGTCCTCATGAGAGCCAGTTTTATCATAGCACTTGATGGTTTTTGCGACTGTACTTGAAGAAACTTTCAAAGTTCTTGACATTTTCCATATTGATTGACCTTCATGTCTTACAGTAATGATGGACTGTCATTTCCCTTTGCTTATTTGAGCTGTTCTTGACATAATATGGACTTGGTCTTTTACCAAATAGGGCTGTCTTCTGTATACCCCCCCTACCTAGTCACAACACAACTGATTGGCTCAAACGCATTAAGAAGGAAAGAATAGATAGTTGTTTATCCCTGGGAGAACCCTCAATGTTTGTCTGCGGGTGGCTAAGTAAGTTCAGCAACACTATTGTACAGGGAGAGGAGAACAGAGCAGACCTGGGTTCAAATGCTATTTTAAATCTTTCAAATACTTTCAGTGTTTGCTTTAGCCTGCCGGGAGTTAGCAGTTTTGTGTTGGTCCATTGCGCCAGACAAGCTCAATCAAGCCCAGCTACATTATTTCAAATAGTATTTGAACCCAGGTCTAGAGCAGATCAGAACAGACCCATGGCTGGGAAACATTAGGATGAATCAATTAGCCTGCCATTAGCCAATAAAGTGGCTCTCATTGACTCGTGTAATTATGACCCACAGCAAAGACCATTTTACAGAAGCATGTTGTTGTCCCCCCCTCCCTTCTTTCTTTATTCATTTTATTTGTTTAAGATAATCCGTTCCATGGTTTTAATTATGTGCTTTAGGTTCAGGGCGGAATAAATAAATCATAATTTGCCTCCATCAGGGCAGCATCCTCTTCAGACCAGGCAGGGCAGCCAGACAAACAGCAGGTCCCAGCTCCCTGGTTCTGCCTGCTACTCCTATGGGCTTCCTGTCTGTGGAAACCAAATAGCCAAATAACTCCAATATTGTACATTATATTACACATACCTAAATATACTCCAATATCCTTGGAGGCAGACACAGACTGCAGCAGGTTCTTTGGTTCTGTCTCTCATACTGCCTGATAATGCTCCTCTGGGGTTCCTGGCTGTGTAAAACAAATGGCCAAACAACTCCAAGGTGAAACCAGGAGACAGATATTAAGGGGGAATTAAGGGGTTGAACAGTGACAGCTTCTTGTAGCTATTGTTTTGCTCCAAAAACAATTATGTCTTTGCAGCACTTGTTTAAATACGCTAAGGGAATGTTCAGATTATGCTAACTAAATGACACATTTTATATTTATTCATACAAAAATATTATTATTCATGTATCCCTAGCCTATAACCTTCCACAAATAAATACTTTATTCTACAGTATCAACTACATCTTACATTTTTCTGCCGCATTTTGTAGCTGACCTTTTTTCTTAGTTCACTCTCTAAATGTGGATCAAGTATTTCCCCTCTCTCTGTTTTTTTCTCTGAGCAAGATCTTAGAAGCTCTGACCTGCAGTGGAACGGTCGCTCTCTTATAAGACTGATGGGGGAGGTACTTCAGGCCAAGTAAAATAAACACTTTGTGAATGTTAAGCTCGAGACTTGGCAGATGAGAATCGAATCATTGCGTGAACGCAGGAGGGAATTTTTGGTGTGTGTCCCAAATGGCCCCCTATTCCCTATATAGTACACTACTTGCTCTGGTCAAAATTTGTGCAGTATAAAGTGAATAGGGTGCCATTTGGGACACACACTTTATGTTCCATTTTCATTTGACAGTCTAGACATTTTATGACTTTGGGAAGAAATCCGTGAGCCTTAGTTTTCAGCTGCAAACATCTGAGAAGAGGAGAAGAGGCGAGGAGAAGAGGTTCCTCCCTAGCTTTTGTGTGCTCTTTGAGTCCCAAAATGCTGTTAAATGTGTGATTTAGTGGGAACTCTTTATCCCTGCCCTTTAACCAAGGGACAGGAAAGATCATGTGAACTGGCAGTAAACAAAAGACTTGGTTTAGTCATCCAGGTTTACTCATAGTCCAAAATGTAGTTTACCTTGCACAGTTACTAGTAAATGAATGAATGAATGAATGAATGAAATGAAGGACATTTTATTTTCGTGTCAAATCGCCAATTGGCAAGCAATCCCTTATGGGATTAATTGACACATAAACAAACATTACAATAATTCACTGTGGTAATTCAATTATAATTCTTCTTCCGGTGTTCTTCCAGTGTTGCGCATTGCATAAAGAGTGAAAAATATGTATGGTAAAAATCTATACATAATAGTAAATAAGGTTATCCAAACAATAATTATATCCCTAGAGCAGTAAAATAATATACATACATACATACATACATACATACATACACACTATCTGTTCTCTGAATCTTTCCCACTATTTTACAAATGTATTCCTGTGGTATTATCCTATGAACAATTATAGGTGATAACGATATTGTACAACACATTTTTCCACCGGGTTATTTTACAGTCTCTCAACCCTGTTTCACACTCACTTTACCCATTAGGTATTTATGAGGTGGTGGTCACCAGAGGAAATGTGTTGCTCTAGCACACTCCTCTGTGTTACTGTGGTAGGGGAGCAGGTCCTGCGGTAGGGGAACAGGCCCTGTGGTAGGGGAACAGGACCTGTGGTAGGGGAGCAGGCCCTGTGGTAGGGGAACAGGCCCTGTGGTAGGGGAGCAGGTCCTGCGGTAGGGGAACAGGACCTGTGGTAGGGGAGCAGGCCCTGTGGTAGGGGAACAGGCCCTGTGGTAGGGGAGCAGGTCCTGCGGTAGGGGAACAGGCCCTGGGGTAGGGGAACAGGACCTGTGGTAGGGGAGCAGGCCCTGTGGTAGGGGAACAGGCCCTGTGGTAGGGGAGTAGGACCTGTGGTAGGGGAACAGGACCTGTGGTAGGGGAGCAGGGCCTGTGGTAGGGGAGCAGGACCTGTGGTAGGGGAACAGGCCCTGTGGTAGGGAAGTAGGACCTGTGGTAGGGGAGTAGGACCTGTGGTAGGGAAGTAGGCCCTGTGGTAGGGGAGCAGGGCCTGTGGTAGGGAAGTAGGACCTGTGGTAGGGGAGTAGGACCTTTGGTAGGGGAGTAGGACCTTTGGTAGGGGAGCAGGGCCTGTGGTAAGGGAGCAGGACCTGTGGTAGGGGAGCAGGTCTTGTGGTAGGGGAGCAGGGCCTGTGGTAGGGGAGCAGGGCCTGTGGTAGGGGAGCAGAACTTCTACAGATATATGAACAAGTATGGACAGGCCTATTAGATTTTTGGATGACATCATTCCTGTTTAGAAATGCACCTGGCAGAAGTAGTCTAGCCAGGAGACAGAGAAACGTAGTGACCGTAAAAGACAATGGCTGCGTCTAAAATGGTACCCTATTCCCTATATAGTGCACTCCTTTTTACCAGGGCAAGGAGTGCACTATATAGGGAATAGGGTGCCATTCCAGATGCACACAGCCAGGGGGATTTCCCTCCCTCCATCTCATCCATACATTATCAGTGTGATGAAAGACGTTCTCTAATGAGACAGGGATGTTCCCTACATATTTCTGACACTGACAGGATGTTTGTACAGCAGTCCTGTTAGTCCCAGGATGATCCCCCCCCCCCCCTTAGACCAACACTCCCCAATGCTCCCCCCATCTACTCAATCTACTTGGCAACGCGACTCAATCTATCTCCCGCTGGGCCCACAGCCTGAACCCCTGACCTCTAGGTCGGGGGTACCCTCCCTCTGGCTGTACAGCTGGCCTCTTTCTCATCCCGCTGACCCCCCACACAGCCCAGCCACCCCCACCCTAGCCACCCCAGCCAACCAGTCAGCTAGCCAGCCCATCCCAGAGCTGGGGCAGTGGTCTAGTCTGGGGTTAATGTACCAAACTACTCCCATTGTCTCTGGATTAATGAAGTGTTCCCTGCCTGTCCCCTTTCATTCAGAGACAAGGAGACATGTAAGGAGTGTTACATTTTAAATGGCAATCGACACACATTGGCCTTCAAGTCAGTAAGTCATATACAGACACTGCATAAGTGGCTGTAGCCTTAGAAGTAATGACATTGTGTATGCTGCTTTTGATGCACTTGTCTTCCCTGTTATCCATTTCAATTCATGGACAGTGGGAGAAGGTGGCTCTTGAATAATAGGAGGAGGTAGCATCTGTGTCATTTCTGAAGATGGAAGGTCGGCCATGTCTACCCTAAAGAACAGCGAGGGAGACCTCTAGAGGAAGGAAATGGAACAGCATGAATATACCTTCTCTCTGCCGCTCCACACACAGTCCAGTGCTCTGTTTCTGACCTCACACTGTCCACTATTGCTCAATGACAGGCTTTAGTTGTTGCCCAGATCCTTACGCCTTACACAACATCACTGCTAGGGTATTGTAAGAACAGTAACCAACCACCACTGTAAGAGCATCAATAAGTGTGTGTTTGCAACGTTAAATTTACAGACTGAACTTGAAATTATTCAAGTACAAAACCACCATTATCCACAGTTCATTGTGTCCCAATACTGACATATGGCATCTAAGATACCAATGATGTCACCGACACTGAGTGTGTGTCCCACATGGCACCCTATTCCACAGGCGGCCGGTGGCACCTTAATTGGAAAGGATGTGCTCATAGTAATGGCTGGAACTGAATAAATTAAATGGTATCGAACACATCAAACATGTGGTTTCCATGTGTTTGATACCATTCCATTTATTATTGAAGTTGTATTTTAAGTTAATTAAATGATATAAAGTGAGTTTGATTATGTGCAGTCTTGCCAGAGTCTTTAGCTGCGTAGCCTTTGTTCTGGCAGAGAGATGAGCAATAAAGAGGCAGGTGATTTATCAACTGGATGAACCCCGTCCAGACAGGGAGGTCCTACTGCCAGCTACACTTCAGCTACACTACGTACTGCTACTGCCATTTATACTACACACTGTACTCTAGTAGTCTCAGTCTGAGCCTGGTCGTTACTCGTTGCCAGTTGCTTTTACAGTCCACATGGATGCACCACCAGGTGTTACTGTGGTGAAAAGAAAACAATTCTGCTGCACCGTTGCTCTTCAGACCAGAGGAGGAGGGTGTGTTAGGCGTGGTGTGTGTGTGTGTTAGGCATGGTGTGTATGTGTGTTAGGCGTGGTGTGTGTGTGTGTTAGGCGTGTTGTGTGTGTGTGTTAGGCGTGGTGTGTGTGTGTGTGTGTTAGGCATGGTGTGTGTGTGTGTGTGTGTGTGTGTGTGTGTTAGGCATGGTGTGTGTGTTGCGTGTGTCAGGTGTGGAATCAGGCAGGGCGTGGAGCGCTGCCTACAGCCGACAGCTTGTTACGGTGTTACGATGCTGTGATTGGTGACCTGCGTAATTGACCTCTAACCTCTGACCCCTTCCTGTCGTTTGCAGTGCTGAGTATCCGTGGCGCCCAGGAGGAGGAGCCTCCAGATGCCCAGCTCATGCGATTGGACAACATGTTGCTGGCGGAGGGCGTGTCTGGACCGGAGAAGGGAGGCGGTTCTGCAGCGGCTGCGGCTGCAGCTGCAGCCTCAGGAGGCGGGGCAGGAGCGGATACTTCAGCGGAACACTCGGACTACAGAGCCAAGCTCTCTCAGATCAGACAGATCTACCACACAGAGCTGGAGAAATACGAACAGGTGAGGGTTGACAGGATGCACTCACCCTTCAGAGAACTACTGGTGCCTTTTACCATAATCACATACTCTAACCCTGTAACCCAAACACACCAGCTCCTCCCATCACAGTGATTATTTATTACATCACAACTTCAGGCTAAGGATTCCTTTAAACCCATCCAAGCCCTGCTAACCCCACTGCAGGAACACAGTGTTGTAACCCACTGACTCATGTCCATTCATGTTGACGACGCCTCACCAGAGTCGGTAGCTGAGAAACAATAGAAACTGCAAGGTCATTTCTGATATTTACATACCAAATTAGGAAACTTTCTACATTTATGGCGTCCATCTAAAGATGTGAAAAAAACATTGGACTGATTTTCTCTCATCCCCATGTAATGTGCAGTTTCCTTCTGTTCTCCATGTCATTATCTACCATGCCAATAAATCAGAGTGGATTTTACTGCATAGCGTTATGTCTACTTTCTAACCAATATTCACACAGTCAAACTGTGACTGGCTGGAATGAATGCATGCCCTGTTAGATGAAATGCAAATGTTTTTTCCGTATAGCCCTAGACACTGCTTACATTTTCATTCATATAAAAAAGCAAAGCCAAAGTGTTGTGATGTTAGTCTATAGACAGGGTTGCCATCCTGAAACATACATACAGTGGAGTAGGGTGAAGTTGCCTCTAGACGCTGATCTTGGGTCAGTTTTACATTTCCCCCACTATTCGTTAAGGTTAGGATTGGGGGAGGGGAAGCTGATCCTAGATCTGTACCTAGGGGAAACTTCACCCTGGAGCCACATATAATAGGCAGGGCTGTAGCAGTTAGGAGTAGTGTGGGAAACAGTCCTGTGACTATGCCACCATCACATGCTGACAATGTACTATATAATAATATATCATATGTAATATATATGTAATATACTGTATTTAAGATGGTATCCCATGGCGGATGGAGGGGGGAGAGTTACACAGGGAGTCATGGCAACGGAAACAAGGTACTCCTCCACTGCAGACCACTGCCCTCCCATACACTTTATAGAGAGATACTATATTTTATAGTCATAATATCATTAATTTAACAACATTATTATTTTACTTTGGTTAGGTTGTTTACCAAATAGACACCCTTTATTCAGGATGTCTTGAATCAAGTAAATATTTTCACATCTGCCAAGTTTTAATAAAGCTGGGTTAGTAGTAACTGAATCTATTCAGAATCCAATGTGAACTTGGCTCCTGTGATTTTATTTACAACCCAGAGCTTTCAAACCCAGCATTTTATACCACACTTCCCTCCCTTGCAATCTCAGCGATAGTGAACAGACTCCCACTGTCAGGATCAGGATTAGGAACTGGATGGCAACCCAGTCTTGTAAAGCAGTAGTGTTGCTTAAGGAGAAAAAATACTGTAACTCACTCATGATTTATTACCACAATTTATTAGTAGCTTTGCTAACAGCTTTACCAGGTTTTTTATTTATTATTTTTCTATTTATTTATTTCTATACGTTTATTTGTAATTTATGCAATGCGACAGGCCCTCAGTGAACAGAAAACGTCTGCAAGCTTTTAATACTTCCTGTAGAATCCCAAGCATTAGATTGTACTCCCTCTACCATGTTTGCATGTGTTTTGTTTCAGATAAGGCCCATATACACATGAACCATGATATACGTTTCTGTGCTTGGTCTGCGTGTGTGTTAACCAATGTTGTAATGATGACATACAGTGCCTTCAGAAAGTAGTCACACCCCTTGACTTTTCCAAATTTTGTTGTGTTACAGCCTGAATTTAAAGTCACTGGCCTACACACAATACCCCACAATGTCAAAGTGGAATTATGTTTTTTGACATTTTTACAAAGAAATTAAAGCTGAAATGTCTTGAGTCAATAAATATTCAACCCCTTTGTTATGGCAAACCTAAATAAGTTCAGGAGTAAAAATGCACATAAGTTGCATGGACTCACTCTGTGTGCAATAATCGTGTTTAACGTGATTTTTGAATGACTGCCTCATCTCTGTTCCCCACACATACAATTGTAAGGTCCTTCAGTCGAGCAGTGAATTTCAAACACAGACTCAACTACAAATACCAGGGAGGTTACCCAATGCCTCGCAAAGAAGGGCACCTATTGGTAGATGGGTAAAAGAAAAAGCAGACATTGAATATCCCTTTGAGCATGGTGATGTTATTAATTACACTTTGAATGGTGTATCAATACTCAATAATCTAACTTAGTTGCCGGAGAGGAAGAAAACCGCTCAGGGATTTCACCATGAGGCCGATGGTGACTTTAAAACAGTTACAGAGTATAATGGCTGTGATAGGAGAAATGGATCAACAAAATTGTAGTTACTCCACAATACTAACCTAATTGAAAGAGTGAAAAGAAGGAAGCCTGTACAGAATACAAATATTCCAAAACATGCATCCTGTTTGCAACAAGGCACTAAAGTGATACTGCAAAAAAATGTGGCAAAGAAATTAACTTTTTGTCTTGAATACAAAGTGTTATGTTTGGGGCAAATCCAATACAGCACATTACTGAGTACCACTCTCCATATTTTCAAGCATAGTGGTGGATGCATCATGTTATGGGTATGCTTGTAATAGTTAACGACTGGATAAAGTTTTTCAGGATAAAAAAGAAACTGAGCACAGGGAAAATCCTAGAGGAAAATCTGGTTCAGACTGCTTTCCACCAGACATTGGGAGATTCATTCATTTTCAGCAGGACAGTAACCTAAAACAAAAGGCCAAATCTACTGGAGTTGCTTACCAAGAAGACAGTGAATGTTAATGAGTGGCCGAGTTACAGTTTTTACTTAAATCTGCTTGAAAATCTATGGCAAGACCTGAAAATGGTTGTCTAGCAAGTATCAACAACCAATTTGACAGAGCTTGAAGAATTAAAAAAATAATAATGTGTAAATATTGTACAATCCAGGTGTGGAAAGCTCTTAGAGACTTATCCAAAAAAACGCACAGCTGTCATCGCTGCCAAAGGTGATTCTATTGACTCAGGGGGTTGAATACTTATCTAATCAACATATACTGTATTAGTGTTTTATTTTTCATATATATTTTTTTACAAATGTTATAATTTTTCTTCCACTTTGACATTAGAGTATTTTGTGTCGATCGCTGACAACAAATGACAATTAAATCAATTTTAATCCCACTTTGTAACACAACAGAATGTGGAAAAAGTCAAGGGGTGTGAATACTTTCTGAAGGCACTGTGCCAGATGGCTTCACTGTCATCCCCATGCATCACTGTATGACACCAACACCATGACCACTCTGCACCTTACCTCTCATATCATCACCACCTATTCACTGTCATTTACATTCATTGTACAGTCATGTTTGTGTTTATTGTCTCTCTTCATTCACATCCCTGCTGCTTTTATAACTATTGCTTTCGTGTCAATAAAGACCTTTGAGATGTGTGAATATGGCAGACATATTGTATAGTGACAGGGACAGAGAGAGAAAGAGAGAGAGAAAAAAAGAGAGTGGGAGAGAGAGTGATTAAAAGAAGGAGAATGAGAGAGACAAGGAAAGAGGGAGAGAGTTAGAGAGAAAGAGAAAAAGACAGGGAGCGAAAGAGGGAGCGAGACAGAGGTATACTGTAATATCATGTCAGGTTCACGCCTGGTGCCACACAGGAGGATGAGTATAACATCATGGCATGTTCATCTCTCAAACCTCTCGGCTGCGGTGAGAAGAGAAGGTGTGCTTCTCGTCAGCAGGGACTAGCAGCTGTCAGTTCCCCATGTCTCCTTTTTTTTAAAGACGACACTTACAGTTGCCATCGCCACTTCTGTTTAATATGAAAAATGTCACCACTTATATTCCCCCTTGGCTTCCCAACGTGGAAGCATTCCCCAGAACTGCATGCATTAAACACTGCTTGATTTCTATATCATTTTTCCTTTCTGTGTATGTGCAAGACATTGATTCATTTAGAATATCATATATAATTTCCCTCTACATGCAGACACTGGCTTTAGTCTAACGGTAAAAGATATGGCCAGCTCTTACAATAGCCATGCAGTATTTCTCAACCATGGTGAGGCTGCTATGGGCACTCTCACACACAACATTTATTTTGACTGTCTAGATAGAATAAACTGAAGTCACGCTGGATAACAGTGTCTGCTAAATTACTAAAATGTAAATGTAACAAACCACATTGTTCTATCTATCTATCTATCTATCTATCTATCTATCTATCTATCTATCTATCTATCTATCTATCTATCTATCTATCTATCTATCTATCTATCTATCTATCTATCTATCTATCTATCTATCTATCTATCTATCTATCTATCTATCTATCTATCTATCTATCTATCTATCTATCTATCTATCTATCTATCTATCTATCTATCTATCTATCTATCTATCTATCTATCTATCTATCTATCTATCTATCTATCTATCTATCTGTTGACCTTCTCTCTCTGTTTGTCTCTTCCCCCCCCTCTGCAGGCTTGTAACGAGTTCACTACCCATGTGATGAACCTGCTGAGGGAGCAGAGTCGCACGCGGCCCATCTCTCCCAAGGAGATAGAGCGCATGGTGGGCATCATCCACCGCAAGTTCAGCTCCATCCAGATGCAGCTCAAACAGAGCACCTGCGAAGCCGTCATGATCCTGCGCTCACGCTTCCTCGACGCCAGGTGTGTGTCTCTGTGTGTGTGTGCTTACAGCTATACAAATTACCACATACAAAGTCACTGTACCACTACAATGTTTTGTTGACTTGCATAGCTAGCTACAGTATGTCCCTACCTGTAACTGCAATATTCACATTAAGTGTTTTTACAGTAGCATACAGAAAACAAGTAATATCCACAGCAGGTTATTCTACAGCTTACCACCACTCTATACAACATCATCACAACTGATCTTCCAAAATCTTCCAAGCCTTTGAGCCTACCTACAGTACATCTCTGGGTGCCATTTGGACCAGCACATACGAGGTTGCTGCTTGGCCACTGACAGTCCTCTCCTCTCTCCAGGCTCCATAACGCTAAATGTTGCCCTTTTTTAATATAATGGCTTGTTTCTTTTGATGCATGTTTTGGATTTGCATACATTTCTCCAAGGATAAATCTCACTCCGTGTCGGAGTTGGAGGCATAACATTTAAATGAGGCTTGTGCTCTTCTCACAAAGCGGCCCATCTATTATTTTGCAAATGGGGAAGGAGGGAAGGGCTTTCAGTGAGAGAGAGACAGAGAGAGAGACAGAGAGAGAGAGAGAGAAAGAGAGAAGAGAGAGAGAGAGAGAGAGAGAGAGAGAGGAAGAAGAGAGAGAGAGAGAGAGAGAGCGACGATCATAGCGACTCTCGTGCTTCTTGAGAGCTCTCTCTATTTTTAGCGAGTCCTCCTTGTATCTCTCAGCTCGCTCTCTCTCTCGCTCCTCTCTCTCTTTCTCTCTACTCTCTCATCTCTCTCTCATTTCGCGCGTATCCTCCTCATACTCTCGGGCCCCGCGTCAACCTCTTTCTATCCTCTCTCTCTTCTTCTCTCTCTCTCTCTCTCTCGTTCTCTCGTCTCTGCTCGCTCTCTCATCGCGCTCTGTTTCGCATGCTCTCCTCGTGTCTCGCGATCCTCAGCTCTTCTCAGTAGCGCCATCAGACGGAGAGAGAGAAGAGAGCAAGCCAGACAGACAGACAGACAGACAACAGACAGACGAGACAGACAGACGAATACACAGACAGACAAGACAGACAGACAGACAGACAACAGACAGACAGACAGACAACGACAGACAGACAGACAGAGATAGCGAGAGAGAGAGAGAGAGAAGAGAGAGAGAAGGAGGGGGAGAGAGAGAGAGAGAGACCGACAGACAGACAGAAGACAGACAGACAGACAGACAGACAGACAGACAGAACAGACAGACAGACAGACATACAGCAGACGACCGACAGACAGACCGACAGAGAGAGAGAGAGAGAGAGAGAGAGTGAGACAGAGAGAGAGACAGAGAGAGAGAGAGTGAGACAGAGAGACAGAGAGAGAGAGGGGCACTGCTCTACCAGGCTCAGCTCTAGTGATTAATCTGCAGCCTGCCCTAGCACCATGCTGTGCACATTTACATATTCTCATTCAGGCTTTTGGAGTGCGGGATGGAGATTTCAGCACAAATCTCTCTAACCAGTCAGTTGATGCGATGCATGGAGTCAAGCATTTTACAGGGTTCCCTTCCCAGCTTATGTAAAACCCTCTCATGAGACGTGGCACATGCAGACATAACCTAATAGAGGGTGGAGATGGAGAAGGAGGAAGAGATGGAGGGGTCAGTGAACTGAACGCGTCATGTTTACAGCACATTGTCTATCCTTTAATAACGAAGTGTAGTGATCTGTTGTTTGTCAGGATTTGCAGGCAGTGTTCATTTCTATTTGTGAACCTCTGAAAACATATTTTATACCAGTTTAGGCAGCTGTATTTAATGTATAAATGTTATTTATTTTGCTCATTTGCACCCCAGTATCTCTATTTGCACATCATCTTCTGCACATCTATCACTCCAGTGTTAATACTAAATTGTAATTATTTTGCACTATGGCCTATTTATTGCCTTACCTCCATAACTTACTACATTTGCACACACTGTATATAGATTTTCTATTGTGTTATTGACTGTATGTTTTTGTTTATCCCATGTGTAACTCTGTGTTGTTGTTGTTTTTATCGCACTGCTTTGCTTTATCTTGGCCAGGTCGCAGTTGTAAATGAGAAATTGTTCTCAACTGGCTTACCTGGTTAAATAAAGGTGAAAAAAAAAATGAAAAAAAAAAGAAAATGTTTTTTGTATTGAATTGGGTGGCAGTTGTATTGTTACTGTATGGGGTGCCCCAGTTTAGCTGTTTTACCGCAAGTGGCTTTGACGCATTTACTCTATGTAGGCATTAGATTTGTATATGCTTCTTTGACCAGGCCCTATGAACGGTATGTATTGTACATGGTGTTTCTTCTGGTCCTAACTAACCAATCTCTATCATTCTCCTTGCAGACGGAAAAGACGGAACTTCAACAAGCAGGCGACAGAGATCCTGAATGAGTACTTCTACTCCCACCTGTCTAACCCCTACCCTAGTGAAGAGGCCAAGGAAGAGCTGGCCAAGAAGTGCTCCATCACAGTTTCACAGGTACAGTACAGTACAGCACAGCACCAACTGTCTGAAGGAAGACCACACTACACCTAGAAGAGGACTACAGAGAGTAGTGGATTATTTATTATAATTTTCTTCATTCAAAGGCTGCATCGCAGGGACTACATTGATAGTGTAATATGATGATTGATAATGTTATTAAGATTTCAATAACAATACCAAGGTAAACAGCAGTAAGGTTATGTGTTTTTCATCCATCATTCGGAAATGGGTAATCTCCTCAAACGGTTTCATGAAGTTTATGCAAAATTATTTTGAGGATGCATCTGGGCGTTGTTTGCTTCAGGGTCTGAATGATTAGTTGAGCGTCTGTGTCCCAAATGGCACCCTATTCCCTATAATGCACTACTTTTGACCAGAGCCTATAGAGAATAGGGGTCCATTTGGGACACAACCTCTGTGTTCCTGGGTCTGTAATAAAATAACCTACCTTCTGTCTGCGTTCGTTTCAAACTTTGCAACAGGATTGATTATTTTTTTCATTTTAATGTTGTTTATCATTAGTGCTAGCTGGCTTATCCCGGTAGCTTCATCGGGGAGTCCATTAGCTGTAATGGGTGTTAGCTAGCGGGTGTTGACTGATTGGTGCTAGCGTGAGCTCTGATTATAGCTGCAGTCATACTGACATAATTAGACTATTATTGGCAATCATTCCCTTCTGCCACTAATGTGGAATCACAGCACTGGTCTATGGAGCCATCGGTAGCACTCACTACTACCTCAAAGGCTGTCCCAAATGGCACCCTTTTCCCTTTATACTGGGACGCTGCCAAAGTCTTCCTTCACTGTCATATATTTGATATGCCAGACAGTGGAAGGCCATGCATGCAGAACTCATTCTGATTCTGATTTCACACTCACAATTAGAAATGTGGGAAATGATTTGTGTAACAAAATAATTAACAATTTGCACATTGTTTGTACAGGTTTCCAACTGGTTCGGAAACAAAAGAATCAGATACAAGAAAAATATTGGAAAGTTCCAGGAAGAAGCCAATATGTATGCTGCCAAAACTGCCGTCAACGCGACCAACGTATCCTCACATGGAAGCCAGGCTAACTCGCCCTCCACTCCAAATTCTGCAGGTAAAGAACCAATGGGTTACCCTTTTTACAGATAGGTTACACTATTTGGAAGGCTCTGAATAAACTCTCCATATCAAAGGTCATTTTTCTTCAAAAGAGAAAAAGGAAAAAAGGCTTTGTCCAAGAGTAGGATACCTGGGCCCCATATCAAGTCACCCAATGCTTTCTGCCCTGTTGTTTTCTTTTCAATTAACACAGCTTTTCGCGTATTTTATCTCAATACTTACTCTTTTACACTGTCAGAACATTACATTTTTGTTGTACCATTTTCATTTACTAAATTCATTCATTCATTAATCTTGTTGACCATGAATAACATTTGTACAGAAACACATAATAACGTATCATGACGCTAAGCATTTTGACTGTAGAAACATACTATCATTCTACTTTCATATTGACAAATGGACACAACAACAACAACAACAACAACAACAACAATAACCGCCCCTGGCGGCGGTGCTTGACTCACCTTTCCCTCAGCTTTATGCTGCCACTCTCTAATCTGTGCTCGCTCTGGCCCTAGCCCTAGCTCTATATTCTAACTCTAGCTCTATATTCTAACTCTAGCTCTATATTCTAACTCTAGCTCTATGTTCTAACTCTAGCTCTATATTCTAACTCTAGCTCTATGTTCTAACTCTAGCTCTATATTCTAACTCTAGCTCTATATTCTAACTCTAGCTCTATGTTCTAACTCTAGCTCTATATTCTAACTCTAGCTCTATGTTCTAACTCTAGCTCTATATTCTAACTCTAGCTCTATGTTCTACTTCTAGCTCTATATTCTAACTCTAGCTCTATATTCTAACTCTAGCTCTATGTTCTACTTCTAGCTCTATATTCTAACTCTCTATATTCTAACTCTCTATGTTCTAACTCTATATTCTAACTCTCTATATTCTAACTCTCTATGTTCTAACTCTAGCTCTATATTCTAACTCTCTATATTCTAACTCTCTATATTCTAACTCTTTATATTCTAACTCTAGCTCTATATTCTAACTCTAGCTCTATGTTCTAACTCTAGCTCTATATTCTAACTACTAGCTCTATATTCTAACTCTCTATATTCTAACTCTCTATATTCTAACTCTAGCTCTATATTCTAACTCTCTATATTCTAACTCTCTATGTTCTAACTCTAGCTCTATATTCTAACTCTCTATATTCTAACTCTAGCTCTATATTCTAACTCTAGCTCTATATTCTAACTCTAGCTCTATATTCTAAACTCTAGCTCTATAGTTCTAACTCTAACTCTATATTCTAACTCTCTATATTCTAACTCTCTATATTCTAACTCTCTATATTCTAACTCTCTATATTCTAACTCTCTATATTCTAACTCTAACTCTATGTTCTAACTCTAACTCTATATTCTAACTCTCTATATTCTAACTCTCTATATTCTAACTCTCTATATTCTAACTCTCTATATTCTAACTCTATATTCTAACTCTATATTCTAAACTCTAACTCTATATTCTAACTCTCTATATTCTAACTCTCTATATTCTAACTCTATATTCTAATCTCTATATTCTAACTCTATATTCTAACTCTCTATATTCTAACTCTCTATATTCTAACTCTCTATATTCTAACTCTCTATATTCTAACTCTCTATATTCTAACTCTCTATATTCTAACTCTCTATATTCTAACTCTAGCTCTATATTCTAACACTAGCTCTATATTCTAACTCTAGCTCTATGTTCTACTTCTAGCTCTAACTACAGCTCCAGCATTAGCTCTATTAACACTTTGCATGGTGCTTCTCCGGGTCTAACCCTGGACGGGGCCAAACGGCTGAATCCTGCTCTGCTCGCTCTCTTCTCTCGCTCTGCTCTATGATTCCAGTGCTCCCTCTCTCCTTTTCCAGGTTCTGCTGGCTCTTTTAACATGTCAAACTCCGGCGACTTGTTCATGAGCGTGCAGTCTCTCAATGGGGACTCGTACCAAGGGGCTCAGGTTGGAGCCAACGTGCAGTCACAGGTAGGGCCCTATAACTAAGCAGTGCAGAAGATACTACTATAGAAACAGACCCAGACCCACCTCCCTAAGAACAGGCCTTGTAATCTTAATCTTAATCACACCACAGGCATCTCAGTACTCCTCTAGTGTCTGGATCACTTTGGGCTCCTAATACCACCACTACATAGGGTTTTCAAGGTATCGTTTTCCACCATTGTTCCTAAAACATGCTTATAGTGAGTGTAGTGATGAAAATAATTAAATACTCTCTGCAGCTCTTTTTATATGTCACTAATTAATCCTTTCGACAGTCTTCTAAATACGTAATAACATGTTTTGGTTATCTTGCTTTTTCTTGTCCATAGCTGGATGTAGTTTATGTACGTTTTCTCTGCCTGTACTGTATTATAATACTACTCTGACCTTGCTTTGTCTGTGTTCCTGTGTTGTGTTTCAGGTGGATACCCTTCGCCATGTTATCAGTCAGACAGGCGGATACAGTGAGGGCCTCACAGCCAGCCAGATGTATAGTCAGCAGAGCATCAATGTAAGGAGAAGAAAACACACAACCTTTCTCTTCCCCTACCAATTATTTCAAAGCCATAGGGCTCAGAATGATACTTAGTAGGATTTGTCTCAGCTCCACCACAGTCACCTAGTTGATTGCTTCAGTATCGGTCACGCCACGAGCAACGCGCTGGCCAGCAGAACGGCGTCGGGCCGGCCACACATACACGGCGCGGCCGCCTGAGCCTGTCACGTTCAATCAGCTCTCCCGCAGCACCTGCAGCCACTCACGGCCATGTAGCCGTGCAGGGACCGCACAAGCAGGTGACACCTCCTGCGACGCGTGGCTTGGGCACCTGACCCTGATTATCACTGCAGGTCCAGAGGCCCTGTTAAAATCCTATCAGAACAACCCCAGAGTAGTCACATAAAAAATACAAATAACCAAACCGCTAACCCCTAGATAAAGCACTGGGGGGCGTAACATGGGGGCATATTTCCATCATGTTATATTTAATTCTTATTTTTTAGGAGATGGGAAAGGAGTGTGTGTTTTGGGTGAGGGTGGGGGAAGAAGGGGGAGGTTAGCTGGCGGCTGCAAACAGCAGGGAAATTCACAGCGACAAGCCATGTCGTAAAAGGGGAAATCGATAAGACAGACACAAGGAGAGCGGAGTGTGGACTTAGGACAGCAATCCAAGCGCATTGCTCAGATCATGCTCCCACCACTCTAATGGCCCTGACAGCGAGCTGCGGCGGCGTGCCGCGGTGAAAGCTACGACGAGGACGAGAGAGGACGGTCACAGTCACACACAGACGCGTGGCTCGGCTGCTGGCTTCCTCTCCCGTCCCTACGCCTCGCTTGTCGTGCCTCAATGGCCGTATGATAATGAGATTAAATGTCTCCTGTGAAAAAAAAACATGTATGTAGTGTATTCAAATCCCCCTCCCTGGCTCGCTCTCCGCTCGTCTCCCTCCCACAGAACAGGCTGTGATAACCCTGAGAGAGCACTACTAAAGTATTCAAGCCCTGTTCTCAGACAGCACTCTGACCTCATGGATATCGTTATCCTTGGACGCCTGCTTGCTCCACCATATCCTAAAATGCCACAATATGCTATTTTCCACACACTTTCATAGCCTTAAAAGAGACTCTTACTGCATAATAAGAGAAGGATATAATCTTATCTGTATGGTAAGCTGTTCTAACCAGTGATTTTTGGAATTAACATTTAAGAGCAGAGGACATTTTTATATTAAATTTTTTCTAATAAAATAGTACATAAAATATGGTTCCCCGTTCTTAATATAGGATTTGGGGAGATATAATACATTGTATCATATCTTACAGAAATTATTTATACATTTTAGCATTCTGGAGTGGTGTTGTAGTTTATTTAATTGCCTCTGCAGCAATTTACTACTTATTTGTTTTAAAAATGACACATTTACCTCAGTATCAAACCTATTCACAAAGCAAAGCCCAAGAAAGCTGTCAGCTTAGAAACAGTGAATCACCTTTGTGCTCGTCCAGCTTTACAGACGGAGAAGAGAGAGAGAGAAAAAAAGAGAAAGAGAGGTCGGAAATATGTCCCATCTATCGGTTACACGATGAAAAGCCTCCCCTCTCTGTGTTGATAATGACTGAGCAGATGCATAATGTGATTTGTGGGAGACTAGAGCAGTAATTACAGTTTGGAAATAGACAAAGAGAGTGTCACCAAAGTCAGACATTTTAAGACTTTTCTTTTCCCTCCATTTTTTATTACAGATTTCCTTCTGCCTGAAATAACAGGCTTTGAAATTAAAGGCTGTCGAGGACCATTTTCATTTTTTCTGATGGCATAAAATGTGCTATTAATATCCCAAATGCTCTTTAGCAGGCTCGTCTCCACTGGAAATGGCCTACACGTCTCTCATTGTGTTTTTATTCAATCTCCCAATGTCATAATTTGCTACCACTGATTCCTCTTAGGACTGTTTCGTGACTTTTGTTTTAAGGTCCTTTCCAGACATTGTCACTGTTATTATGTGTGTCATTAAATGTGACAGGCATTTATATCAATCCCAGTGATACAAGATTGCAATCATATTGGTTTTGAAGTGAAGACAACATTTTTTCATTATAGAAATTGTACCATACTGTACGTGATCTGATAGTGATATTTGTGATTTACAGAATTTTCAGTTGCTTCAAACAAGTAAATTTTTTATGACAATTCCGTTCTGAAATATGCGGTCTAAGTTACAGTAATTTGAGTGAATTAGATGTTCGTCCAATGCAGATTTGGTTTGAGGCTGTAGTGGATTATAGGTTGAGTTGTTTAGGAATTGTTCTAGCATTAGGAGTAAAGCTCATACCGTAGCTACTACATGTGCCATCAGGACTTCACAGATACAGCATTCAATGCTGCAGATGAGATGATATAATGATCTTATTGAACTGTACAGTGAATATGTACAAGAGAGAAGAAAAAACACATAGAACACCTTTATTTAAAAATTGTATTTGATACTTTTACTCCTTTTTTTACTCCCTAATTTCGTGATGTCCAACTGGTAGTTACAGTCTTGTCCCATCGCTGCAACTCCCCTACGGACTCGGGAGAGGCGAAGGTCAAGAGCCATACATCCTCTGAAACACGACCCTGCCAAGCGCACTGCTTCTTGACACACTGCTCGCTTAACCCGGAATCCAGAGAAAATCTATGTTATGGGTACATGCCTGTGTCCTATGCCTGTGCTCATCTTTCCTCTCTCCTTCTGTCTCTTTTGTCTCTCTCTCAGGCAAACGGAGGCTGGCAGGATGCTACCACCCCCTCATCAGTGACATCACCCACAGAAGGACCCGGAAGTGTTCACTCTGACACGTCCAACTAATCCCTCCACCCTCCTCCTCCACCACTGTCCAGACACCCCCAAACTCAACCCTCGATCAGCCAGCTCGCCAGTCAGCTCCCCATCAGAACTGGAGATGACACTAGACTTGTCACAGGGCAGGAGACCTCTCTCTACAGGTGGGGACTACAGGATGAAACGCCATCATCACCACCACAGACAGTTCTTCACGTGTCATGTCCCGTCTCTACAACCAGCTATGACACAGTCAGTCAGTACCCTGAGTAGGGCTCTGTTCTCCCATCTATCTACGACCCCATTCACTGTCTGTTTGTACAGTTTTCTTCACCAGATATCCATGTTGCCTCTGTGTGATCATCTGACAAACAGTTACAACACGTATACACAGTATGGCCCGTATCTTGTAGATTGAAATGCTTTTCTCACTATCTCTATTGACGATAACAACAAAAAAACAACTGACAACAACGGAAAGTCTTCCAAAAAAGCGTAGTGTTTTGTTTTTTACTTTGTAATTACTGATATTGACAGTAGCTCCCAATCTCCCTTGTACTGCCTCAAGGCTTGTTTCGAGGACAGTTTTGCCTTTGTGACAAGTTTTACCCTATATAATTACTTCATTCACAACATTTGTTTTGTCCATAGTGCCAAAGTTCAACACAGGAGGTTAATTTTTATAATATGACATTGTGCACTTGTAGAAAAATACATATCCATCTGACGTTTCACATCACATACCGTAGCTTAATTACATTTCTTGTTAGTAGCTAACAATGGGATGCTTTGAAAGGAGAACCTTGAGATTCAAATGTTCCTCCTCATTCTAGCCATTCTGTTTCAGAGCTTCTACAATGGGTAATAAAACATGACACATTTTTACTGCAACAATGGCGTGTGTTCTTGTTCATACTGAATGAGTGGTCAACAATGCATAAGCAAAACATATAAGAGTAACGGTATGCTCCAGAATGAATGGAAGGAATGGTTTTGAAGGTTATGAAGAAATGGATCATGGTGATTCTGGCTTCATGGTGATTATAGATTATAGCTTCATGGTGATTATAGATTAATGGTGATTATAGCTTCATGGTAATTCTATTTACTGGAATTCTAATACATTTCCTGCTCTTGACATATTGTTTGTAGTGTGGGCTGAGCATCAGTTTAAAAAATGTACCCGGAACACTTAATCAATGAGTACATTAGCATCAATTATAATAAGCTAATATGTCTTTAAGCACAGTACCTTCCAGTGATTACCCTATGAAGGGTAACATTTGTATTTGTCAAAGAGAAGAACAAAGTACAGAGAACATACATGAATAATATGCTTATATAGTTTTCATTCATGGAACATAATTTATGATGTGTGTACATACACATAAATACACTACCATCATCACTATCGATCAGTGTTATCATAATAGCCAAATACTGCTGGTAACCAAAACCACTTGTGTAAGGTGTAAGTGCAAAAAAGGCATTTTAATGTAAATGTTAATTCTGATGTTGTGGTACCAGGTGGTAGTCATGGAATACACAACTAAACACAATTATTAAATCTTTCTCAAAGTTACTATTTTCCTCATAATTTCATGTTATTGGTACTAATTACAGTGGCTTGCGAAAGTATTCACCCCCCTTGGCATTTTCCTATTTTGTTGCCTTACAACCTGGAATTTAAACGGATTTACACAACATGCCTACCACTTTGAAGATGCAAAATATTTTTTTGGGTGAAACAAACAAGAAATAAGACCAAAAAAAAGAAAACTTGAGCATGCATAACTATTCACCCCCCCCCCAAAGTCAATGCTTTGTAGAGCCACCTTTTGCAGCAATTACAGCTGCAAGTCTCTTGGGGTATGTCTCTATAAGCTTGGCACATCTAGCCACTGGGATTTTTACCCATTCTTCAAGGCAAAACTGCTCCAGCTCCTTCAAGTTGGATGGGTTCCGCTGGTGTACAGCAATCTTTAAGTCATTCCACAGATTCTCAATTGGATTGAGGTTTGGGCTTTGACTAGGCCATTCCAAGACATTTAAATGTTTCCCCTTAAACCACTCGAGTGTTGCTTTAGCAGTATGCTTAGGGTCATTGTCCTGCTGGAAGGTGAACCTCCGTCCCAGTCTCAAATCTCTGGAAGACTGAAACAGGTTTCCCTCATTAATTTCCCTGTATTTAGCACCATCCATCATTCCTTAAATTCTGACCAGTTTCCCAGTCCCTGCCAATGAAAAACATCCCCACAGCATGATGCTGCCACCACCATGCTTCACTGTCGGGATGGTGTTCTCGGGGTGATGAGAGGTGTTGGGTTTGCGCCAGACATAGCGTTTTATTTGATGGCCAAAAAGCTCAATTTTAGTCTCATCTGACCAGAGTACCTTCTTCCATATGTTTGGGGAGTCTCCCACATGCCTTTTGGCGAACACCAAACATTTTTATAATTTTTTATTTTATTATACATTTAGCAGACGCTCTTATCCAGAGCGACTTACAGGAGCAATTAGGGTTAAGTGCCTTGCTTAAGGGCACATCGACAGATTTTTCACCTAGTCGGCTCGGGGATTAGAACCAGCGACCTTTCGGCTACTGGCACAACGCTCTTACCCACTAAGCTACCTGCCGCCCTTAAACATGTTTGCTTATTTTTTTCTTTAAGCAATGGCTTTTTTCTGGCCACTCCTCTGTAAAGCCCAACTCTGTGGAGTGTATGGCTTAAAGTGGTCCTATGGACAGATACTCCAATCTCCGCTGTGGAGCTTTGCAGCTCCTTCAGGGTTATCTTTGGTCTCTTTATTGCCTCTCTGATTAATGCCCTCCTTGCCTGGTCCATGAGTTTTGGTGGCGGCCCTCTCTTGGCAGGTTTGTTTTGGTGCCGTATTCTTTCACTTTTTTAATAATGGATTTAATGGTGCTCCGTGGGATGTTCAAAGTTTCTGATATTTTTTTATAACCCAACCCTGATCTGTACTTCTCCACAACTTTGTCCCTGACCTGTTTGGAGAGCTCCTTGGACTTATTGGTGCCGCTTGATTGGTGGTGCCCCTTGCTTAGTTGTGTTGCAGACTCTGGGGCCTTTCAGAACAGGTGTATATATACTGAGATCATGTGACACTTATATTTCACACAGGTGGACTATAATTAACTAATTATGTGACTTCTGAAGGTAATTGGTTGCACCAGATCTTATTTAGGGGCTTCATAGCAAAGGGGGTGAATACATATGCACGCACCACTTTTCCATTATTTATTTTTTTGAATATTTTGAAACAAGTTATTTTTTTAATTTCACCACCACCAATTTGAACTATTTTGTGTATGTCCATTACATGAAATCCAAATAAAAATCAATTTAAATTACAGGTTGTAATGCAACAAAATAGGAAAAACTCCAAGGGGTATGAATACTTTTTTTTTTTCAATAGTATATTTCTGTCCATTTATTATTGTCACCGAGTTTGAACATCCGTCATATCATCCTGTTTTTACATTTTGTTTATCAAGGTTGGTCTCTACTCACTCTTATATTTCAGTTTTCCCCTAGCATATGACTTGAGTCTAAATTACGCAAATAAATATAAAATGTGAAATTAGATGTATTCATTTTGTTGTAGCTACAGTATTTGCTTACACACAATTACACATTGCCTTCTTGGGCAATTCAACATATATACCCTACAATTACCTTGATACCAAAAAATAACTGCAGAAGCTTCAGCTCTATAGATTGGAATCAGCTTTACCAACTTTGCTTTGTTTGTTTTGTAAAATGGTGTATTATCTGAAGTATTCATGAACACCTCATAGGAATGTTCAGGTACTCTCTCTGTACTACAAAACCAAAAATACAGTAGTGTTTGTTTATAGATATGAAATGGAAAAGACTAACCCTGATGGCACACAGACAGATACAGAAGATGTTTGGATATATTTGTATGTCCTTGTGTTGTGAATAACTTGCATCATCATTGTTTTCTCTATCATTTTGCTTTTATTTTGCGTGGTTACAGGATTTCCAGTACGTTATATTTAATTTTCTTGCTAGCATAATGTGAATTTGCAGAAGAATGCTCTATAGAGTATATGTAGATGTGCACCTTTATTCTTATTTTGCATTTTTGGGGGGGAATTAGACAATATCCATTTAAAAAACAAAGCAGCTACAGTAAATGTTTGACAGACACAGACAGATAGTAGGAAAGAGTTCCTCTCACATTACGGATAGAATCCACTCACAGTTCACTTTGTACTTTCAGTCTAAAGCATTGACACACAAGCTTGCTTCTAAAATGTTTACTGTCTTGTTAATTAAAGGTGATGTGAAAAGTTAGTGTCCAACCATATCCTCATACCATGGTTATAGATAAACATTATACAGTGTAACTACAATACCACACAGCTGAATCCACCATAGACTGAATATCACAGAATGTAGATAGTCCTTCTTTCACAAACAGTATATCTTATAGTTTTTGGAGACGTGGACGTGTACTATGATTTTTTTTTTTTTATAACTACAAATTGCTTCATTTTCTCCCACACCCGACAGTCCAGTTGACGGACAACACGTGTACCCTATGAGTGGACTATGTTTGAGTGGTGTACCCTGGCCTTTCGATCCAGATGTATATATTTTTTTTTTGAACATTTTAGCCATGTGGCCAGCAGAACAATAGCTTTTGTGATGCAGTGCCCCCCCCCCAAAAAAAGTTACTCTACATTTCACAATGCCTGTCCAGTATCACCGTATTATTGAAAGCTTCATGTAATGATGCTTTAAGTTTTTGAATATAAAAGGAAAAGATTACTATAAAAAAAGAAAGAAGAAACTGTAAAATTTGTCAAACATAACATGTTTTCTTTGTTGCATGTATTTTGTTCTTTAATAAAATACCGTACTGCAGTGTTTTTGAATGTTACTTCTTTTTTTATAAAGATTTCAGAGTGAAATCGTGGAGCCTTTTTCTTGACAGGTTTTATCTTTTAAGATCTCTGCATATGTAAAAAAGTTATAAAAATGGAAACTGCAAAACTATTGTCTTTTTAATTCCTATTTAAAACCTGTTTTCGGTGGAGAAAAAAATAGCTAACAAGGTGTAGGTTTTATGGTCTCTTTCTTTGTACTAATAATACATATTCCAAATAAATTGTTTCTTTTGCTGCATAATTTTGTATTGTCCTCATTGATTTTCCTTGTCACACACATACTATGGATATTTCCATACATTAAAAGGCACAATCCTTAATTCATTTCTCCAGTTCCATCCCTCAGCTTTATAGCAAAACCAAGTAGTGGGGCTGCAGTTGACCGAGAAACAAATCAAAGATTGTGGATTTAAGACATGCCAAGAAAAAAGTTAACTGTCTTTTTTTTACATGATGTTTTGGTGTGGTTTCTCCTCCAGACTTCAGTAAAAGAGTCATGGTCATGAGTTACTGTAGGACACAAGTTTACACGTCTCAGACGTGTCAGTCCTTCACCTCTGGATAGCATCGCACATCACATTTCAAAAACATGGTAAAGCATCAGGCATTTTCTCACTATTGACATAGCATCAGAGCTGGGGTGAGCTAGAGAGGGTGTGAAGGGGACATTTTCTCAGTTTTCTAAGTGAGTGAAATCTGTGTGCTTATGGCCAGCAGACAGACACTCGCTCCCTTCCCCAGCTCCCTTCACTCATCCCCCTTCTCTTCTGCCCCTCCTCCCTCCACACATAGCAGAGGGAGCCTTCAAGGCACGGTTAATGTGCGTTCCCTGAGAGAGGCGGGGTGCTCACTTATCGCTCTCTTCCAGATAAATGAGACAGGATGTCTGATTCTACTCTTCCAATGCATCTATTTCTACATACTGAAAAAAGGAAAGAGAGAAAAGGGGTTGAAATCAACTTTTGGATTAGGAACTAGGAAGGTTTTCCAAAACGATCAGAGAGAGCAGCCAAATCGCAGAGCGTGACGGAGACTGTGGGAGTGACATATGCAAACATGATCAAATATAATTACATGTGGATGTCTCCTTGCTTCTATCAAAGGGTTTCTTGTAGGCTCTGTTAGGAGGATGAAAGAGAGGAACTGTTGGACGTGTACTGTATGCTTTAATATATTCACCATGGCTTTACAAACCAAAAAGGCATTGTGAGTTTAAGTAATTACTGTAGGTTCTCAGCAGCCTCTTGAAAAGGCATAAATCCCATACTGAGTAGCAAATCGGTTGAACTTTCTATTCTGTTTAATCATTAGCAAATAGCCTGGTTAATGGTTTTCACCTGTACTAAGCCAGTGACGAATACTGAGTATACGAAGAGGTAGACGCAGGAATTAACAAGGTAAAGGTTTACTTAACAATAAAAAAAAGAGAATAACAAAGAGAGTAAATGACACGACGCTAACAATTACACACAACAATGAACGAACAGTCCAGGGCTATATAGTGGTTGTGATGAGATGATGAGGTGCAGGTGTGCTGTAGGTGATTAGGGTGTGTTGGGTTTCCATTCCTGTGTTTTCCGAGGTGGTGCGCTCAGACCGGTGGCTCAGTAGACTGGCAAATCAGAGCGCTGGAGGGGAGCAAAGGGAGGAGACGTGACAGTACCTCCCGGGACGTCGCCGGCCAGGAGGACGACCCCGAGGACGAGGAGCGGGCCGGTCAGGGCGGCGACGGTAGAAGTCCCGAATTAGGTTGGGGTCCAGAATGTCCCCAGCCGGAACCCAGCTCCTCTCTTCAGGGCCATACCCCTCCCAGTCCACTAGGTAACGGAGCCATCCTCCACGGAACCTGGAGTCCAGCAGATCCCTCACGGCATACGCCGGACTCCCGTCAATGTCCAGGGGCGGAGGGGGCATACCCCGGAGGACGGCATCCACCAGAGGACCAGGAACCACCGACCTGAGGAGAGACACATGAAAAGTGGGTGAGACACGGTAGTGAGGGGGAAGGAGCAGCCGGTACGATACCTGATTAATCCGCCGGAGGACCTTAAACGGCCCCACAAACCTGGGGCTCAGTTTCTTGCAGGGCAGGCGGAGAGGGAGGTTTCGAGTAGACTGCCAGACGCGATCACCAGGCTGGAATATGGGAGCCTCACTGCGGTGGCGGTCAGCTTGGTCCTTCTGCCGATGAATGGCCCTCTGGAGACGGACATGGGCGGTGTCCCAGACCTGTCTGGCCCTGCGGAACCACTCGTCGACAGCGGGCGCATCGGTCTGGCTGGGTGTCCAAGGGTCCAGGGCCGGCTGGTACCCCAGGACGCATTGGAAGGGAGTGAGCCCTGTGGAGGAGTGAACAAGGGAGTTCTGGGCATATTCTGCCCAGGGATGAAACCTCGCCAACTCACCCTGCCGGTCCTGACAGTGGCAACGAAGAAACCTCCCCAGCTCCTGTTTCATGCGCTCCACCTGCCCATTTGACTGAGGCCTATACCCGGAAGTGAGGCTGGCTGTGGCCCCGATCTTCTCCAGGAAAGCTTTCCACACTCGGGAGGTGAATTGGGGGTCATGGTGCGAGACGATGTCCTCCGGAAGTCCATAGTGCCGGAAGACCTGTTGGAACAGGAGCTCAGCGACCTGGAGAGCAAAAGGAAGACCAGTTAGTGGCAAAAAACGGCATGATTTTGAGAACCGATCTACGACCACCATGACTGTGGTGAAGCCGTCAGAACGTGGGAGGTCGGTGACAAAGTCTATGGACGGGTGTGACCAAGGTCGCTGAGGCACTGGTAGAGGAACTAGTTTGCCTGCCGGGGCGTTCCGAGGTGTCTTCGTTTGGGCACATACGGAACAGGAGTTGACATAGCGAGAGACATCAGAAGCCAAGATAGGCCACCAGTATTTTTGTGCTAGAGAATGCAGGGTGTGCGTAATACCGGAGTGCCCTGCATAAGGATAAAGTGCGCCCAGATCAGCAGGCGGTCACGGACACTGGTGGGTACATACACGCACTCCGGAGGGGCGTTGGCAGGTGCTGGTCCTCCTGAGCCGCCAGGCGGATGTCTTCGTCCACATCCCAAACAACAGGTGCAATGATGAGAGATGGGGGCAGGATAGGACCCCCCAGATCCTTCCTCTCTCCGGTATGGTGCATCCTGGAGAGTGCGTCGGCATTCACATTCTGGGATCCTGTGCGGTAGGACAGAATGAATTGAAAGCGAGTAAGAAATTGGGCCCACCTGGCTTGACGAGAGTTAATCCGTGTCGCTGCCCGTATGTGCTCCAAATGCCGGTGGTCAGTAAGAATCCGGAATGGATGGACTGCACCCTCCAGCCAGTGTCTCCATTCCTCCAGAGCGAGGACCACCGCCAACAGCTCCCTGTCTCCAACTCCATAGTTTCTCTCTGCGGGGGGTAAGCTTTTTAGAGAAAAAGGCACAGGGATAAAAAAAATGTGGCTTACCGTGCCACTGGGAGAGGACAGCACCCACGCACTCCTACAATGCGTCCACCTCCAGGATGAAAGGACAAGATGGATCTGGGTGTTTTAGGATGGGCGCTGTGGTGAACCTGTCCTTCAGCCTCTTGAAGGCAGCGTCAGCTTCAGGGTTCCAGGCCAGCTTCTGAGGCCCACCCTTAAGGATAGAGGTGAGCGGGGCGGCTATGGAGCTGAAGGACCTGATGAAATGCCGGTAGAAATTGCGAAGCCCAGGAAGCTCTGTAGGCCCTTGATGGTGGTGGGGACTGGCCATGACCTGACAGCGTCCGTCTTCGCTCTTTCCATGAACACCCCCTGAGGACTGATCCTGTATCCCAGGAAGGAGATGGCCTGTTGGTGGAATTCGCATTTCTCCCCCTTCACCAACAGGCTGTGTTCCCGGAGGCGGTGTAGGACAGCTCTGACGTCCCTGACGTGCTCCTCGAACGTAGCCGAGTAGATCAGGATATCGTCGATGTACACCATCACCTGTCTACTCAGCATATCTCAGAACACGTCATTGACAAAGGACTGGAACACAGAAGGTGCTTTGGCGAGGCCGCAGGGCATGACGCAGTATTCATAGTGGCCTGAGGTAGTGCTGAATGCCATCTTCCACTCGTCTCCTTCCCGGATTCGGATCAGGTTGTAGGCACTCCTCAGGTCCAACTTGGTAAAGTACAGGGCCCCTCGTAGCTGCTCGATGGCCGATGGAACCAGAGGGAGAAGGGGTACCGGTACTTGGTGGTGACTGCGTTCAGCCCCCTGTAATCAATGCACGGCCTCAGTCCTCCGTCTTTTTTGGCCACGAAGAAGCTGGCGGAGGCAGGAGAGGTAGAGCGTCAGATGAACCCCTGTTTCAGGGTCTCCGCCACATACTTCTCCATGGCCTCAGTCTCCGCCATGGAAAGGGAGTAAATGCGACTCTCCGGGGGGTGTTGTCCCTCCAGCAGGTCAATGGCGCAGTCCCAGGGCCTGTGAGAAGGGAGACACATAGCCTTTGATGAAGAGAAGACGTCGGAGAGATCTGCGTACTCACGTTGAATGTTGGGCTGGAGGGCGGACTCCGGACTCGCCACTGACGTGGAACAACAAACCACCGGCAGGCAGGTCTTCCAGGCTGTGATCCTCTTGGTGATCCAATTGATGGTGGGGTTGTGTAGTCTGAGTCCCAAGACGATCCAGTGAATGGGTGATGTGACGATGTGGAATGACAGCTCCTCGTGCTGCTCTGGTAGTGTGGGAATGGTGATGGGGAGAGTGATGTGCGTAATGGTGCCTGATCCAAGTGGTTTATTGTCCAGCGAGGTGACGTGTAGCGGAGAAGGCAGTGGCATGGTGGGTAACCCCCATTCAGAGACCAGCTCCCTATCTATAAGGTTCCCCGCTGATCCGGAATCTATAATTGCAGTGGAAATGGTAGAGAAGGCATAACCAGTCACCGTTATGGAAACTAAAAACAATGGTTTTGTGATAGGAGATCACATAACACTCATGGAGCGGCTACGGGAGTCATAACGCC